ATACATCACCACTTCAATTAACCACCAAGCCCCTGCCTAGTGAGTCAACAAACACCAGCCCCACACTCAGAGCCAGTTTCTTCTCAGGAATCTTCGACTCACCGGAACCAGTGAATCCACCAATCACTGCAGAAGAACAACACCCAACACCTGTTCCAGCAGAACCCAGCCCAGATCCACCCAGATCAACAGTCGATCCTGTCCCAGAAGAAGAACCTACTGATAGACACCCGAACAACCCAGAAGACGGAGACCCGGAACCCAGCGATCAAGAAGACGAAGAAGACATGTCGGACAACAACAGCGGGGCAGTAAACAAACCCAACCAATTCGAAGGAGATAAAGGGAAGAGCAAGGAATTCCTGGACGAATTGTACCTATACTTTGAAGGAAACTCTAAGAAGATCCAGACCGATAAAGATAAGGTTCAGTGCACCCTTTCCTATATCAAAGGACCTGCCCAATTCTTTGTTCACACCGTCATAACTGATGCACAAGATCTGATCTCTGATACCAAGAATGCGCCACTCAAAGGATTACCTGTGAAGGGGCCTAACAACTGAGGATCAGGAGTTCAACTGTTAACTGGTACTAGGGCTTATACATGCTATAGTCCTACTGAGACTAAGGTTGCAAACTGAGCTGCTATGTCTGATAGCAATTTGAGAGCGTATACTGGTTGAAGCGATGCTTCAGACTAAAGACTAGAATAGACAACTAAGTTTATTACTGAGGGCTGTCCCTATAAAGTGTACGTAGGGAACAAGAGGACAAAACTAAAGTACAGTAGTGGAGGCAGTGCTACTTAAATAGGCAAGGCAAATAGGGTTAATTAAGTGTGAAACACTGAGTTGGATCAGTGATGTACATGAAACAGATTATCACTGGGTTGTGTTACAGCTTGGAGGGGGGTTTTCTTTTCTTTCCTAACTATTCGTTGTTGACCCTGTACTATACTACTGGATCCCCCATTTGATACTTCATCACCATCAAACGTTTCATATCTATCGTCTGTTACTTGTCTCCTGTCGTACTTACACCACATTTCATCTCCATCGTGTTTCATCTTCATCACTGATACAACCCAGTG